AAACCCCAAAACCCCAAAACCCCTTTGCTTATTAAATTCAGTGAAATTATAATAAGTTAATTAATAGCAATGAATTGTGATCATATTCAGTATCACTATTAATCATGCTAAATATACTTCAAATTATATGATAATTCTTCTCCAGTATTAATTTCTAAAACAAGTGGTTTCACATATGAAATTATCTTAATTTTCCTCGTTTCATATTCTAATCTACTTAGATACTCAGAGAAGATGATATATACTCTTTGATCATTTTATTAATTCGAATAATCTTTGATATTTTGATATAGATATCTGAGGTTTTTTTAAAACGTCTTGATCTCATCTTTATTTCTTGGAGATAAATGATCATTGAAATTCAAGATAACATAGCATTTTAGATCAATAGTATCTAATTCATTCGAAAGCCATTTGGATTGCTAAGATTAAGGGTAAAAAGAATCTAAATACCCCGGATCAAGTGTAAATATCTAAATCTATTGTCCTAGACTATGATGGTAATAAAGTCGGGCATAGGGTTGATTCATAGTGAATGGGAAAAATGTCATAAATATGTTATCTTTAAGTTTACTTGGGTCAGATAAAGAGAATGGCTAATAACCAATTTCAGATTTAGAAGCAGCTACTATTGATGGAATCATAGCATTGTTATGATCAACAAAATTACTCTGCCAGTATTCAAGGAATTAGTCCCAGAGATGATAGCATGTCAATTATCCATAATCAAAAGCCAAGTATCCAGATATCAAAGCCAAATCAATTTAATTCTCTTCAAGCATGTAATGCATCTTAAATGTCTCCAAATTATTTGAGTTCTTTCCACCTATAGCTAACCTAATAGTTTTATTTTGATTCTATTAAGTGGCTTAAGGTGTTTTAAACTTATATCTCTAACTCAGATACCCTGTTTAGTTATAGTAAATTGAGAATTAGTAGGTAGATCCTGGTTCAAGATTATTTAATTGAGCTTTATATATTCTTCTCTGAGAATTGAACTCTTCATTTTAATCGAAGTGGGAATAGACTTTTTCAGCTTCCTATTATAACCTGATTTCTGATTGATCATTTGTGATAAGTTGATAGTTAACTATTGGAAAACACTCTTTAGATTTACAAGTGTCTATAGCCAAATGAAAGTTAATTATTATCGATTGAGATGAATCTATTTCTGAAGCAGTCACAAATACATGACAAGGCTCTATTGAAAAACTGCCTTTGCATTAAGTGAATTTATGAGATCTCATGAATTTTGAACTAAAACCGTACTTTCCCAATATTATCAGACTCGAGTTTACTTCTTCATGTTTAGAAAGACAACCTTCGTCAACTAAAAGAGGAGCTCCAATTGAAAATAAAACTATTCCAATGAGTGAGATAAAGAATAGGAATCTGTGATTTTCACTATAGTACTTGATTGTTGCAAGTACTTTTCTTAAGTAAAACTCTCCAGATTAAAAATCAGCCATATCATCGAAGCTCAAGGCGTTTTTATGTAGTATCTGAATGTAATAGGATAGATTGGTTTGAGCGAATCTTGTTGAGAAAATATACTTGTTATTCTAATAAATGATAGCAATGAATTGAGTAAGCATAAATGCTGATATGAGGAAAATTCCAAAGGTTAATCCCAGCCATCCAATTGACACTAGCGGTAGGATGGAAAAGGTTAGTAATAGCATAGCTATCCAAGCAAATAGAAATTTAAGACCTTGATGTTTCTCAACTTTAAAAGTAAAAGTAGTAGCTAACACATCAGGTCCCTTCTTTTAGATACGATATTTATCCTCAGAGTTCTGATTTCTAATGAAATTAGTAGGATAACTTATCATCTCCTTGTCTTTTCTAGTCTATCTTCTCTCACTATCTGAGGAATGCTCTTCAACCAATCTATATCAATCCTGATAAGCACTTGATTAGAGATGTTAAATTTTGCTAGTTTTCTTTTTGCGGAGATTTTCAGGATACTGATCATATCTCTTTTTTCTTGACCAAAGAGGGAATGTTACCATGCTGTCGTGGCGTGAACCGTCTTCTGATTAAGAATTTTTATGCTCTTCTGATGACCCAGATTCAGAATTTGATAGTAGGAATTCTGAATTATCAAGTTATTACAGTAGAGTTGAAGTCAATCTTCTATAGATGGTCTCTTCTCTTATTTCTGGCTTGAGACAGAACTTAGTAATAAGAGAGATTATGCAGAATAGAAACCAAAATAAAGCTGACAGGAACATAAGGTAGATGGTTAGTGATAGCATGCGATGTTCTGCCCAAGAGAGTTAGAGTGAGTTAGTGAGAAATGGATTCTCTTGCTAAGTTTACTCTGCCATTAATTAATTTGTAATTTATCCGTTTAACTTATTATTACAATCAATTCGATCTCAACACTCTTCGCTTAGTGGGGTTTTGGGGTTTTGGGG